AAAAAAATAAAGCTTGGCTAAAAACGCCCCTACAAAAAAAAAAATTTATGCTTATATTAATATTGTTATACTAGTAGCTACTATAGTTGTTATTATAAGTTATTCTTATCAGATGCGATAGAGGAATGTAAAGTAGAATATATGCTCTACTGTATGATTATGCTCGAGTTATTATAATGATTATCTCATCAAACACGTCAGAGTCACTCACCGTCAAGACAGTAGGGCACCAGCACTGTGAGGTCGTTGAACGAGACAACATTATTTTTCAGGTATTACGTAGAGAGCCGTATTAGTGGCTGGATGAATATCGGCTACGCAAGAAAATCGTCTTCGAACGAGACAGATGAAACAAGAATCTGATTGCTCCAACTGATGATTATCAAGCCCCAAAACAGATGTTTCTGCGAGCGCATTTAGGTATCTTCAAAGACGTTATCAACCAAGTCGATAATGGAGATGTAGATAAAGGTGTTATGTAGCGATTTAAATGACACAAGGCAAAGACAAAAGAAGTAGTCTTTGAGACTAATCTTTATTCTGAAATAAAGACAGAAGGACCATACAATTAAATAAAGGATCTACTATTTATAGTTGCTATCAAATGGCTGGTAAGCCACTATTCTAAGCGTGGATTGTAATTACTGAGGGTTTAATTGACTAACAGTTCCTGAGTTCATAAAGAAAGCTTTTCATTTCATGATCTGAGTTATGATACTGTTTTTACCTTGAGAAGAATGACATTTTAAAGAAGTGTATCCTTTTATATAAAGAAGTAATGATTTATATTCAAAGGAGAGATTCTGTTTAATTTGACTTATCACTAAAAGCGTGCACAGGTAATCCTATAATGTATGAATTCGCTCTATTTATACTGATTACAGTCGTTTATCTCAATGTCAGTCATAAGAAGACATTGTTCTATGACACCTCTTATTCTAGTTTTAGTCACCTTTTCATGCTCTCCTTGCGGCGTGATTTGCTTGAAAAGTGAACGAGGTAATTTAATCTTTCCTCACCAACTTCCTCAACAGATGATCTGATATCTGTCAATGTACGCCTACGCACAAAGGCATCGCTCATGTGGCCGTTTCTTTCCCATCACACTTCATTAGAAATAGCGGCACATGACTGAGACAATCCTGCCCATTCATTTATCATCCTCAGATATATCAACGTCAAATGAGGTAACATCATTTACATTCAGTGGAATATCTTCAGCGTCCATGTAGTCGCTTAGACTATTTATCATCAAAGAAGAAAATGTGAGTTTGCTACCAAACCCACCATATCCCTTTTTAGAGTTCTAAACGAAGAGAAACAGAAGTTGAATGCTTGAGAAAATGGAGAAAATAATACACTATTTCTAAAAAGATATGCCACGCTGACTTGTCACTTTTTCGTATAAATTGTATTATAAAAACTGCAAAAATGCGATTTTACTTTTTGAAAAGACTGTAAATAAACATTTTTTGTTAGCACTGAAGCTCAGCCGATCAACTATCGCAATGATTAGAGGGTAGCATTTTTGACTAGTGCAGAAAACATCTCCTAATGCTCTCATATACAGCTTCTCCCACAATGTTCCTCATGTTCAAGGTTAGTACTTTTTTTTATCAATTCGAAAGAGGCTTTGTGATCAGAATTGTAAAATAAAGCCTACACATTTTTATTGCGTGGCTAGTGGATATACGGAGTTTAGAGCGCTTTTATAGCTTGCTACGTCTGGCAAAAAGCACTGATTGCTGGCGCAAAGTTCATTACTAGCTAGCGTAAATCTATCTTACTGGCTATCGCAAAAATAGTTTCAGGCGGCGCAAATTGCTCTGCAAAAACCAGTAGTGTCGTCACTGTGCCATTCAATGCCCCTCTCAGCAACAAAAAATAACCTGGGAAAATATAGACACTTAATAAATTTCCTTTCCAAGCACATGAAAACTGATAATCCACTATTTTCAATCACAGACCTATTTATTTCATTTTACCTTGTACCTTTTCTTTTTTTTTCTTCTTTTATTATTTCATTACATCCTTTACCATGTCTGATACCGAACCTGTTGTTGCTGACGTTCAATCAAGTACTGCTTCTTCAGTCAAGTCATTCCTTTCCGGTGGTTTTGGTGGTATGGCCGCTGTCTTGGTTGGGTAAATATATATCACTTAGTGTTAGGAGGGTTCATTCTAACACAAGACTACATAGTCAACCTTTTGATCTTGTCAAGGTTCGTCTTCAAACTAGTGAAGGTGTCTACAAGAACACGTTTGATTGCTTTAAGCAAATCATCAAAAAGGACGGTGTTCTCGGTTTATATCGTGGTATGTCTGCTCCCTTGGCTAGTATTACGCCCATCTTTGCCGTCAGTTTCTGGGTAAGTTAGTTGACATGAATAAAGAAGTACGTGTGTGTGTATTGATTACTTTTGACTATAGTCCTATGACCTTGGTAAGAAGATTTGTTACGCTGCTAGAACCGATAAATCCAGTACAGACACACATCTCACTTTGGCTGAGACTACATTCGCCGGTGCCTTCTCTGCCTTCCCCACCACATTGTTCATGGCACCTTCTGAGCGTGTGAAAGTTTTGATGCAGATTCAAGGACAAGGAGGTGAAGCCAAGTATAAGGGTCCAGTAGATGTTGTTCGTCAATTGTATAAGGAAGGTGGTATTCGTTCCATCTTTAGAGGTACTGGTGCTACCCTTTTACGTGATTCCCCAGGCTCAGCTGCTTATTTCGTTGCTTATGAGCTTGTCAAAAAGCAACTTACACCTGCTGGTTCTCGTCCTGAGGACTTGAGTTTCGGTGCTGTCTTATTTGCTGGTGGTAAGTTTTATTGTTTACGAGATTGAATATTTGTATTGATCACTTTTTCTCAATAGGTATGGCTGGTGTTGCCATGTGGACCATTGCTATTCCTCCTGATGTTCTTAAATCTCGCTTACAATCTGCACCAGCTGGTACTTATACAGGTTTGGGCGACTGTCTCAAGAAGACCTTAAAGACAGATGGGCCTACTGCCCTCTTCAAGGGACTTGGTCCAGCCATGTTGAGAGCTTTCCCTGCCAATGCTGCCACTTTCTTGGGCGTTGAATACTCTATGAAGGCTATGAATGCCCTCTTTTAAATGCCTTGTAAATAAAAAGAAATTATTATTTATTTAGAATATAAAATTACATAATCTTTGATTGGTTCCATCGTTCTTTATTTGTAAGATTCAATCGTTCCTGCGTGTGTAACTATTAAGGAAAGGGGATTTTTGCTGACACAATTATTTATATTTTCCCTCACCTGCGATTTATTTTTCTTTTTTTTTTTTCTTTACATCATGTTCAGAACAGCTACTACAAGAGTATCACCACGCTTATCTTTGGCCACAAGAGTAAGTACTATTGATGACTTATTGACAGACTTAGTGATTTTATATATCATAGTCTGCTGCCAAACGATGGGCTACCACAGCACCCAAGACGCCCGTTGATCCTACTGCACCTGGTCCCATGCTTCGATATCAAAAGAATTTACCCAAGCTTCCTGTACCTGCCTTGAGCGCCACACTTCAAAAGTACTTGCAATCTGTTCGTCCTCTCTTGAGCGATGCCGAATTTCAACGCACTGAACAAGCTGTCAAAGAGTTTGAAGCCCCTGGAGGGTTAGGACAAGAATTGCAAGAACGATTACTTGCCAAGGCTAATGACCCTAACGTCGTCAATTGGATGGAAGACTGGTGGTTAGACCAAGCCTACATGGGCTACCGTGACCCTGTTGTGATTTATGTTAGTTACTTCTTCCTTTACAAGGATGATAAATTACGCAAGTCTCCTGCTCAGCGTGCTGCTGCCATTGCTACAGCCGCCTTGGAGTTTAAGCGACAGATTGCTCAAAAGACGTTGGAACCCGAATATGTCAAGGGAGAGCCCCTTTGTATGGATTCATTCAAGTACATGTTTAACAATTGTCGTATTCCCAAGAAGCCATCGGACTATGAAGCCACCTTTGATATCTTGAACAATAACCATGTAGTCGTGTTGAGAAAGAACAGATTCTATGTGGTGGATACGATTTACAATGGAAAGCAACTGTCTACTGCTGAATTGCAGCATCAGTTCCAAAAGATCATTGATCAAGCTGGTCAATCCAAGGGTATTCCCATTGGTGTGCTGACTTCTGATAACCGTGATAAGTGGACAGATGTAAGTTGTGATTATAGTCTAGGGAAAATATAGCAAATAACTAATGTGGGGTTGGTAAAACAGTATCGCGAAAATTTAATTGCCGCAAATCCTGAGAACCGAAAAGTGCTGGAAAAGATCGAATCCTCTGACTTTGTGATATGTTTGGATGACTCCAAGCCTGTGACTCGTGATGAAGGTTCTCGCGCTTGCTGGCATGGCGATGGACGTAACCGATTCTTTGATAAGCCTCTCCAATTCATTGTGTTTGAAAACGGAAAGGCTGGTTTCATGGGAGAGCACTCTTGCATGGATGGTATGGCCACTTGCCGATTGAACGAGTTTGTATGTGATGGTCTGGCCAGAAACAAGATCGAACATGGGCCTACTGACATTCGCTCTGATCTTCCTGAACCACAAGAACTTCAGTTTGACATCAACAGTCAGGTGAGCAAAGATATTGAAGCTGCCGAAACCAACTTTGAAAACTTGATCAAGAAGCATGAGTTGACCGTGCTGAACTATCAAGCCTATGGTAAGGACTTGATCAAGAAGTACAAGTGCTCTCCTGATGGCTTTGCTCAAATGGTTATCCAACTCGCTTATTACAAGATGTTTGGTACATCTCGTCCCACTTACGAATCAGCTCAGACCCGTAAATACCAACGCGGACGTACCGAAACTGCCCGTACGGTTACAGTAGACTCTGTTGCCTTTGTCAAGGCAATGGAAGATCCTAATGTACCCGTTCAGGAAAAGATTTCTGCTTTCCGTAAAGCGCTCAAGACTCAAGGTGCCAACATGGCCGATGCTGTCAATGGTCATGGTTGTGATCGTCACTTGTTTGGCTTGAAGAACAGTTTGAAGGATAGTGAAGAGAAGCCTGAGCTGTTCAAGGATCCTGCCTATGCTTATTCTTCTCACTGGTACTTGTCTACTTCTCAATTATCGTCTGAACACTTTGACGGATATGGCTGGGGACAAGTCGTCAATGATGGTTTCGGAGTTGCTTACATGGTCAAGAAGCATGCCTTGCAATTTAACGTGGCTAGTGTGAAAGATTTAGAGGTTCATGGTACCAAATATGTAAATGGCACGTATCACTTTAAGCAGTGTCTTGAAGACGCTGCCAATGAGTTGAAGGAATTAATGGATACTGAAATTGCATCTGAAGCCAAATTATAAAATAGAATAAAATCGTATATTTCTTTTTTAAGCCATGTGTGCAGTAAAATGATCAAGATGGTGTACAAATAAAGTAATTAACAGAGCATAATGACGTAGTTATTATTATTATTAAATGTAGATGTAAAAAAAGGAAAGAAGTGGGGTATGAGTAAATACAATAGAAAGATAGAAATATGTATAATATATATATATATAAATAAAAGAAATGGAATAAAAAAGTACATAAGTTAACATGGCTGAGTGAGGGTAGTAAGCTGAGATTCTAATTCTTGGATACGTTGCTTATAACTTGATACTTGTTGCTGTAACAGTTTGATATGATCCACTGACTTTCGCAAGATAGCTCCTTTGTTGGGCTTATTATTATTGCCAATATGTGTAGTAATCTCTTCATACATATAATCTGGCAAGAGCGTGCCTAACTCTTGAATGCGTTCATTAATATTTTCTCTTCTTCTTCTTTCGACTATAAAAGCCATGTTAATACATATGCATATGCAGAATGATATTATGTTATTTACCTGCATTATGAGATTCCCTTCTTCTTCGCTTCTTTTCAGTTAATATTTGCTGTCTAATGCAAAGCATAAACAATCCCGATTATGAATATAACGTGTAATATCTTACTGTAACTGCAAAGACTCAAAGTCTTCCATGCTTGTATTTTGATTTAGAGCAGCCAGATAACCCATCTGAGAAGGAGCCGAAAATGGGCCATTAAATAAAGTAGGGCTCTGTGGAGAGACTGATAAGAGAGTATCTGCACTATTATATTTTTGATGAAAGTCCATCAAAAAGGATTGTGGTGGATGAGAGTTAGACAGCACAGATGAATAATCAGATGGAGACTCTTCAGACATGATATCCATATCAATCACTCTATTATTATGTTTGACGTCTAGTTCATCAAAATCACTCAGTAGTGGAGATAAGAAGCCACCTTGTTGCGGATAATCTTCCATCAAGACTTGTTGTTGTTGTTGTTGCTGATGACGATGATGATATTGATGTTGTTGTTGCTGTAAATGATAATCAGTTGGATGTCTCAATTTAAATGGGCTTTCAGCCATGTCTTGGATAGTTGTAAAAAGTAAAGAATAAAAATAATAAAAACGAAAAAGCGAGCAAGGGGCGCAGTGCAGTTTTATACACAGAAGACCTAAACGCTGTGTGTGAAAAAGAAGGTCGGCAATTGAAACCATAACAACAATAAGAAAAAGGATAAATGCAGGCACATATGACTTATCAACTGAGCAGGTCAGAAAACTTCTTTTTTATTCTATAAAAGGAGAAAGAAATGCAGAGTTTAAATGAGAGAGGGGTATAGGTGACGTTTATCGTCTTCATTGGACTCGTTCATGTGTACTAATAGGGCTTATATCGATTACTTTGATGATCACTATTTCGTGATTTTGACGTATTGTCTTCATCGGCCTGGTTCCTTTTTTTTAATGATTGTAGTTTTTGTTCTATTGCCCTGATTTTTGCATCCATACTATCTGATGTCAATTTCAAACATGAAACGCTTGAGTTTTTTCTTACTTTTTTTGATGCAACAGTTTCTGTCTGTTGCTTAGCAACGGTGTTGACGGAAGCTTTCGTCTGCTATGGTCATTATCCTGTTCCATTGTCTATTTTAGGTTACTTTGATGACGAAATCTGCATAAAAATTATGTTACCGTGTGTGCAAATGATACCACGATCGATTTATTCTTTATCCGTTTACCATGTAAAGCATTGATCGCTTTTAACGCTTGCTAAAAATAAATGAGTTAATGTTACGTATGGCGCCATCCATGTTACCTCTTTCTTTTCATATTCTAGAAAACAGTATCCTTTTGGCTGTCCTTTTTTAGGTCCCGTCCGATGAACTAAACTGTCAATATACGTAATTTTTCCAAAAGGTTCGAATAACTTGAGGATGGTGTATCTAATATGTTTGTTAACGTCATTTTATATGCATGTATATTGATTATATTTACTCATCAATTACATCAGTCAAGTTACCAATGTATAATCTCTACAGGATGCTTAGTCAATGTTCACTTTTATCTCTCAAGTACCTTTGTATTTGTTGTCGTGGTTTCTTTTGCTTCTGTTGATGTGGCTAATGACATAAATCAGTTTAAAAAAATCTAGAAGAATATTGCAGAAAGAAAAGTCAAAATGGCTGTCTACAAACCAGCCAATAGAATGCATGTATTACACAATAACCAAGGTTTCATTAAATGTCATGGCAGTAAGAAGGATGCAAGTCTTTTGATGCCATTGACATGGTTACCTTTGGTGTACTTTTTATAATATCTTTCTCTCCATCATTTATCAGTTATCGATTTTTCGAAGTAGCTTTAAACTGTAAACGACGAATGTTGCATACAGGCTTTTAAAAAATTATAGTTTGATATATTGCAATGAATAAAACACTAGATGCATGCCTGAGTCAAATGCCATTTACTCAAGCGCTTTATGATCATCACAATGTCCTAGTCTGCCAAGGATTGTAAGATGATGCAGAATAGAGACCTTAACGCATCAAAAAATATTTATAGCCTTTCTGAAAGTATGGTAACAGTTGAAGATCTTCCCTGCTCCGTTCAAGAGGCAATAATTTTGTAATCCAATCGCTGTATCAAACACGTTTCTTCTTTTGGTGAAAGTTTAGATTTACAATTATCTTGAAGTGTTAGAAACCTGTACACCACTTGTATTCCATCAACTGAGATTTAAGAACTAATAAAAAAAAAAACCAGTCAGTTTTAGATAAAAAGCCTGTCTTCTATATTTGTATATGATGGCGAAGAAAGGAGCATTATTTCGCAATCTACGCCAATTTGATGGATATGCAAAGACATTAGACGAATTTCGTGTCAAGACAACATCAGGCGCATCTGGTATGTTCATCTACATTAACCCCCTTTTCTAATCGTACTTAACTCTTTTTTATAAAGTTACCTTGATTAGTGCTTTTATTGTCATTTACTTGGTTCTGTCAGAACTAATAACATACAACACATCTACATGGAGTCCAAGTCTAGTTGTAGATAAAAGTCGAAAAGAAAAAATGCCCATAGACTTTAATATCACGTTTCCTCATGTGCCTTGCCATAGTATGTTCCTAGTCTATATGCTGTATTAAACTAACATGTTTATAGTGCTTAGCATTGATATAATGGATGATACAGGAGAGCATTCAACAGGATATTCCCAGGATATAACAAAAGTAAGACTTGATCTGTCCGGAAAGGTGATCGAAAGTGGCCAAACTGTCAGTAAGTATTTTTTTGTTAAGAGCATAGATGAAGCATCGAGCTAATATTCTTAGAATAGAGCTAGGAGATCACACCAAAGATGCAGAAAAGGCCCTACGGCCAGTGCCTGAATGTGGTAGTTGTTATGGTGCAACACCACTTCGTGAGGACGGTTGTTGTCACACTTGTCAGGATGTTCGAGAAGCTTATATCAAGCAAGGATGGGGGCTTGTGAACACAAAAGAGATTGAACAGTGTGTGCGTGAAGGATGGTTAGAAAAACTTGAAAACCAGTCAGACGAAGGATGCAACGTGCATGGACATCTCTTGGTAAACAAAGTGCGAGGAAACTTTCATTTTGCACCAGGAAGCGCCTTTCAGGCTGGTTCGATGCACATACATGATCTTCAGGAATACTCAGCAGGAGCAGCAGAAGGACACAAATTTGACATGAGCCATGTCATTCACAAGCTAAGATTTGGCCCAGATACTAAAGATCAAAGCGAAGAGGTCTTGGCAGTTACAAATGCCTTGGCTGGCACAGTCAAGAATAGTACGAATGGTAAGTCCATGTTAAGATATGATATGATATATTCATCCTCTTTGTAGGACGTGTGGCGTATCAATACTTTTTAAAAATTGTTTCTACCGAGTTTCGACATTTGAAGAACATAGTCTATACCAATCAATACTCTGTTACCCAAAATGAAATGATGCTTAAGGATGGGGTATCTGGTCTCCCAGGCGTCTTTTTTAATATAGAGATCTCACCTATGCATATCATTTACCAAGAATCAAGACCCGCTTTTAGTAGCTTAGTAACAGGTCTCTTGGCTATTGTTGGCGGTATCTTTACTGTAGCAGGGTTAATTGATCGTGTAGTATACAAAGCTGAACGTGCTTACAAGAAGAAAATGGAGCTGGGAAAAACTCTTTGAGAAACATGAACGATTGCTTAGATCAAATAAAGATATTAAAAGTTATCCGACACTTTCCATATAAGGAGATTAGTATATAATCAAAAGAAAATTGTTGTGTTTATACAACAACAAGACTCATATTTATATCAAGGTTGAAACATATCAATATGACAATGATCAGTCTCTTTCTATTTTAGTTAATTGCTGTTTTTATTGGTGGAATAAAAAAAGAAGGTACGGTAATTAAAATTTCTTGGTATACTTTTGCCAAGTACTACGATTTTTTTGAATGCATAAAAGACTTCCTTTTCTCTTTTACTTTTTTTTTCTTTTTTTCAAACATAAACAATAAAGAGAAAAGATGGGCGGAGGATCGATTTATAACAAAGAAAATATCGAATTACTAAACTTGCCACAAGAACAAAAGCAATACAATCCATACTTAAACCTGCAACAATACAATTCACTTTATCCGACATATGACCCAAACGAATATCAAATACATCCAATCACTTTGAATGATTTACCTCCTGAATTACCGCCTGTACCTGAAGCTTATAGACAGCCAAGAAATAATGACCAAGACACAGTGAGGCTGATTTATACAAAATCAGGATTCTATCTAAAAGAACCAAACATGCATGGCTTCTTTACTATATTCTCAAAATCAATGGTAACAACTTTTTCAGACACTGCTAGGGTTATATGCTAACTATATCTAAATTAGGAAAATATGAATGTCCATATAGCTTGGGTACCCGAATATCTTATAGAACCTGTCGATATCGATCGATTCATTCAATTGGATGGACATCTAGCTTCTGACGATGATTACCCAGATATTCATATTAATCCCGCAGGCGAGACAATGATGATCATGCTTAAAAATATAGACACAATATATGCTCCTCCTCCTTCTGAAGAGGAACAAGCATCTATGGTGATAACACTAAATACAGGCGAAATGCTAAAACCAATCTATTATTCATCTCAAGGCCATTGGCCAGGATACGATATTATTGATATACTAAGTGCCTTCATTTTGATAAAAAGGTAAGGTTTGAAAAAAAAAAAAAATGACACTTTTTTTTCTATTGGTGCCAACCTATTCTTATTAGGGCAGAAGACATGGACTACCTTTATTTAGTTAGTTCCTCTACAGAAGATGATTTAGAATACCAGCCACAAGTATCCATCAGGGCGACCTCAGTTCGATCAGCATCATCAGTGAATACAGCAAGACTATCTGAACAATCCAAACGAAGCGCCTCAGAGATCGTATTCTCCGAAAGACAATCAGTGCGAGGATTAGGACCATCGAATGAAAATGCTGTACCAAAACTGCCGCCAAGATCAAACAGCCCAGAAATTTCTTCACGGCAGCAAAGAGAGAAAAGCGAATCGCCAACTCCGTTGATGACAACGGCTTCGGCAGCAGCAGATCCTTTTGACCCATTTATCAGTACAATACGAGATGCTCAATGGACGATTCTTGAAAGATTATCCAGGATTACTCAGTACTCACGGGATACAGCGTCCCAAGTGCTGGAACATCCTATGGCAAGACCAGTCTTACCCCTTTTACCCCCCTCTCTACAGCAACTGCTAAAGAAGGACAATATGCTGGATGATTATGAAACAGCATCCCAATACTTGGCACAGTATGGACAAGCCACAGCGGAGGACGAGCATTTCTTGGATGATCAAGAACTTCAGAATCTCTTGGCTGATATATCTGAGCTTCAGGGACCTTCACCCATTCACACTAGACGTCGTGGACCAATTGCTGCAGAAGAATGGGTAAGTCTGTTTGATCAAGAAGGCAAGCTATCTATACCTATACCACAAGTGAAGCAAATGATCTTTCAAGGTGGCCTGGATAATGAAGTTCGTGCAGAGGCATGGAAGTTCTTGCTGGGTATCTACCCTTGGCATTCAACTTTTGAAGAAAGAGATGCCATTCGACAAAGTCAAGCCGAAGCTTACTACCGAATAAAAGCCGTATGGTTTAATGACATCAGTGTGCAAGAATCAAACGAGTTCCAAGATGAAAAGCACCGCATAGACAAGGATGTACATCGCACTGATAGAAATCATGAGGCATTTGCAAATGAAGATATGCCAAATCCGGATCCTCAAATGGTTGTCGGAACAAACAGTAACATGGAGGCTATGAAAGATATCCTTGTGACGTACAACTTTTACAATACCGAGCTTGGATATGTCCAAGGCATGTCAGATCTACTGGCACCCTTGTTTGTTATCATGAATGATGAAGCCATGTCCTTCTGGGCCTTTACACGCTTTATGGATAGAGTGGTAAGAGTGAAATGTTAATATAATAAAATAAGTGTGCTCACTTTTTAAAATAGCAATCCAACTTTTATATGGACCAATCTGGTATGCATGCACAACTCAAGACTCTCAATCTCTTGGTTCAATTTATGGACCCTGTACTGCATAAGCGGTTTGAAGATATTGATATATCCAACCTCTTCTTTTGTTTCCGTTGGTTACTTGTTTGGTTCAAGCGAGAATTTGATTGGGAAGATATCATCAGACTCTGGGAGAACCTATGGACAGACCATCTAACAAAGAAAATGATACTCTTCATTGCCCTGGCTGTGATAGACACTCACAGGGAAAAGATTTTAAACGAACTAAACCAGTTTGATGAGGTTCTTCGAGTAAGTTAATACTCAAAAACAGATGTTAACTATTACTTATATATCACATAATAGTACATTAATGACCTGACTGGAAATATTGACTTGAATCACACTTTGGAACGAGCAGAAGTGCTTTATTATCAATTTGAAAGAAAGATTCGAGCAATGCAACGCAAGACTAGTCTATTGAAAGATAGACTTGAAGAAAGAACTGTGTGGAATAGCCCAGAAAGATACAAGATTCAGGAGGATATCGAGAAATTGAAGATACCTGATCATTTACTAGAACTACTCACATTATAAATCTGTTCATTTTTGTATATATAAATAACAAAATTATATAAAGTATATTTTCATAAAAACATGTCCAAATAGAGATATTTTAATAGTGTAACACTCTAAGTTTCACAAATCAAGGGGTTCCAAATGATTATGTCATTTTTAAAATCTAGTTTAACATTTGTTTGTTGCAAGCTTTATTTAGCTACAAGATGTATATATCATAAAGTTGATAAAAAAAATATTTCTAGCTTCGGAAGAAAGTAAAGCAACACGAAATTGGGACTTTATTATTGTAAAAAAAAAAAGAATAAAACTTGCTTTTACTACTTGATCGATTCTATAAAATAATCTATCGTTTTATTATACTTTTAATGTTGTTTGGAAAATACAAAGGTTAATTATAAATGTTAAAGCAATCTATTTACACGTTTCAAGAGTCAAAGCAAAGGAACAGAAGAAAAAGAAAGAATCCTTTAGAGATCATGACTTTTCTAGCAAGATAAATACTTGTATGTGCTTGCCTTTATGGGAGCCCTCTTTTAGAACCAATTGTGTAATGACGTTTAATCCTCATTTTATAAAGACGTAAAATTTTATTCATAGACTGCTGCTTTGCTTTCATTTTAAGAAAGCTTTGCTCCTTGACCATAATTAACATTTTGCGTTCGAAGCGCGAATCAAATTTATAAACTACAAAGTAAATATCTGTAAATTTATTATATAATGACTATCTCGCGATTATAGAGCAGATTTAACTTTACTAATCTTATATAATCAAATAAAGCAAGCAAGGATGGGATGTTTATTCATCATATTTTATATTGGTGCTGTCTTTCATTCTTACAATAGACGCCCTGATACTTTTTGAATGTATCAAGATAAAATATCAACAGTGACCTATACATTAGACTTAGTTATAATCAAAGAAAAAGTCTCGAAGAAATGCATGAAAAAAAAAAAAGACCATAATTTTTCAAAAAGAAGAGCGGAGTTCATACTTGATACTTGGTAGCTTTTTGAAAGGAGTGCAAACAGACGCTCTTCCTGACAGCAGTAAATAATACAGGGGCATGTTCCGAAGCATATTTAAGCGACAGCTATTATTATACTCTAGACAAACACCGAAGCGATATTTGACACAAAAAGCAAAAGGTCATAAAAGCAAAAAAGGGAATTCATTATAACCTATACCAACATGTTCATTAGATGTACCCAAGGTTAATCAATATCCTCGCTTCAAGATCATACCTGAGACACACGGCAAATGGATATCAGTAAGGGATTTGGAGAGATATCAAACCTTGCTTGAGAAAGGTCAAAAAGCTGAACAAGACATCGTAACATTGACAGGCAGGATCAGTTCAAAAAGAGAATCAAGTGCAAAGCTGGTCTTTTATGACATTGTACAAAATGGGGAAACTGTCCAAGTAGTCGCCTCACGTAACAGATTTAATGGAACACCTAAAGATTTTGAAGAGGCTAATAGACAGTTATCGAGAGGAGACATTGTTTGTACGTATGCCTTATGTTTTCCTTCATATGCTTGTCTATATTAACCATTTTATTTATATAAAAAAAAGCCTTTACAGGAGTTCCTGGCAAAACAAACCATGGACAGCTTAGTGTATTTGTAACAAAGGAAATGAAGGTTCTTACACCTTGTTTGCGTGATATTCCTCTATCTGGTCTTAAAGATCACGTATGCATAAATTATTGATGGTCAACTGGTTTGATAACATGAGTTCTTTTTTATATAGGAAAAACGATTTCGACAACGACATTTAGATTTATTGGTGAATCCTACCTCTGTCAATACATTAAAGACTAGATCCAAGGTATTACACTATGCTTCAAAAACACTCTTATACTGAACGAATTTTCAGATTGTTCGATACATTAGAGATTTTTTTGATAGTCGAGGCTTTTTAGAAGTAGAGACACCTGTCTTGTCCACGAGTGCTGGCGGTGCTAATGCTCGTCCATTTGAAACTCATGCACACGCACTAGATGTAGATATGCAGCTTCGGATTGCCCCAGAACTTTACCTTAAGAGACTGGTCATAGGAGGTATGGATCGTGTCTATGAAATTGGGAAACAGTTTAGAAATGAAGGCGTTGATGCAGACCACAACCCTGAATTTACAACATGCGAGTCTTATCAGGCTTATGGAAATCTGGAGACCCTGATGAGTGATACGGAAGAGCTCCTTTCGGGGATGGTAGCTGAAGTGTGTGGCAATAAACCTGTAATGACCAAGACAGGACATATGGTTGACTTCAAAAAGCCTTTCAACAGAATCAATGTGATGGAAAGGCTATCATCTGTTCTAGGAACTTCACTTTCTTTCTTGGATTCTCCAGGTATATTGCAGATAGATTCGAACTTTATGAATCTGACTTTATCATGTGTGCTAGATGCTTTGGATCGACTAATAGAGATTTGCAAACAGTTGAAAGTACATCCATCTGAACCACTCACGACCACTCGTATACTTGATGAACTAATATCAATGTACATTGAGCCAGAATGTGTGCAACCCACGTTCTTGTATAATCACCCTCTTGCTCTTAGTCCATTAGCCAAGGATGCAATTGATGATAATGTAGGTTTGACTTAGTTTTATAACACTTATTTAATACAATCTTTTTAGGGACAAAAATTCGCTGCTCGATTCGAGTTATTTATTGGAGGAAAAGAAATAGTGAATGCCTATGAAGAATTAAATGATCCAGAAGAACAGCGTAAACGGTTCAAAGAGCAGCTTAAAGAGAAAGATTTAGGAGATGTGGAAGTGCCATTACCCGATATGGACTACTGTGAAGCTTTAGAGTATGGCTTACCTCCTACAGCGGGCTGGGGAATGGGTATTGACCGAGTAGTTCAGTTATTGACTGGAGCTAGTCATATTAGAGAAGTCTTGGCTTTCCCTCTCATGCGCCCATTGAATGCCAAGGAATAAATACATGTAAATATTTTATCGTATAAGCGAACGTACACACTTTATACGGATCAAGCTAAGGTTAGATTCTTTAAATTAATGTTTGAGAAAACTATGAGTACTCCAGCTGCTGCGAAACAATTAGATATTTATGTTCACACAGTTCAAAGGTGGGTTCAAATGTATAAAACGGATCCTGATAGTATTTTTATAAAGCATAAGAAAACGGGCCGCTTGCGTATACTTCATGAAGGACACAAGCAAGTGATCTTGGAGTACATAGATGAGAATCCCTCAACCGTCTTGGAGCAAGTACATATGAAAGGGTATTATCTTGTTATAGATAACGCTCCTATTCATAAATCTGAAGATATTGCTAAATATATTGTATCCCGTGGCTACCGTTATGCTTATTTACCGTCATACTCCCCTGAGCTCAATTCAATTAAGCAATTCTGGTCGGCTGTTAAGAGCAAAGTAAAGCGCAATAGGCTCTTGGAAAAAGAGACACTGATGATGAGAATTAACGAAGCTTCTAATAGCTTAAAACTAAATGACTTTAAAGGCTTTGTTCGGCATTCATATAAAACTACATAAAGCCATTTCTGCTCATAAATCAAGTCGGAGAACAATAAGATATCCTAAAAGAGAGTGCTACTTAGCTTGCTGGGAGGATCTTGCTCATTTTGAAAGAATAGTCCGCTTTAGGTGCAATCCTTAACGACATCGTCCCACATACATACTATTTTAAAATGAGTCCCATCACTCAGGATGTGATCCCTAAGCGTTCATTCCGGAAGCCACATTTCGGGGTGTGGTCCCTAAGAAAAACGTTTTTATAAAACTATTTACAACTAAATCTAGTAAAATATTGTTCTTTTACTAAAAAAAACTATGACAAGTTGTCCTTCTACTTTTGTTGATTACAAAATCACTCCTGAGGAACTAAATGTAGAACAGTTTTTTTACAACATGCCTGCCAATAGCTGGGATTTCCAACACTATTTTCGTTGGCATTCAAGAAAAAATAAAAAAAAATTCAACGCTATCATTGGCAGCTACAAAAACAGTCTTTATAAAATACTTAATAGCAACATACTCCATGACGATATTAAGGCCTATGTTGGTGGGCTATTAAAAAATATGGTTAGTTAAAGAATAAAATAGTGGCAGTGTAGTAATTCTTATATTTTTATATAATAGAACACCTCCAAAGCAGAAAAAACCGTCAAGAATATCACTACCAACAACTTTATAAATAGTGCGGTAAACTATGGCGAAGGAGGGGCGAACATTGTTGTTGGACAATCAAGTATGGCGCTTCCAATTTCTAGTGGTAAGTCAGCTATAGTAACAAACTAATAGATAATTAAATGACTTATTTCGATTCTTGATTTTAGAGAGCCACCATGCTATCCAAGAAGAAGGAGATAAAGCGAATTACCGAATCTCACCTCTTAAAAGAAAGCATTCTAAGTGCAATACTGAATTGCCATGGAAACGACTTTTGAACTTGGCCTATGATCTGGTGAGTTTTAATTACAAAATAATAGTGCTCACGGTGTTTTGATATCTGTTTTTATTTCATAGTATTCTGGTAAAGATGTTTCGCCAAACAGCTACGAATTATACCATGTTGAAGCAAGCAGTTTACAAGCAGCTATATTCAATGTCTCGCTTGATAAGCTTAATACCTTCAAGCACTTAAACAGGCTGGATTTGTCTTACTTAGCGTAATTTACTAATGTTCGATCCTATTATCACAATTATTGATTTTTATTTTCTAGTGTATTTCTTTCTGGGATCGTCAATACGATCGATGTTCATAACTGGGCACTTCTCAGCAGTTACTGCTCTGATTTGGCAATTGAAAAAGCTGTCAGTGACAGTCAGGTCAATTATTTCCACAAATATTCAGATAAATCATTAGAACAACTGATGCTTGATATTAAAAAAGTAAGAATGCGTTGGAATCACATAGATATAAAGTTATTCACTTTTTTAAATTGTTAGTTGTATGCCGATGAAGGTTTTGAAGCTGTCAGAATTTTTATCCTTGAAAAGAAATTGGAAGCTTACAAATCAAAAGAAGCAACAAAAAATTCATCAGTTCTAATACTCCTAGATATGCTAGATCATATGTAAGTAAAGAGATCATCATTTTTAATTTTACAAACGTAAACGCTCATTCATTAAAGCTCTAATATCTTTCATTTCAACTCTTGTAGTATTAATATGGTTAGCTACTCATCTTGGAAAGATGAAACTGAGATGGGATATCTCGAGTATTGGAAACCACTGTTCAAAACTCTATTTAGAGACTGCAACTTGATAATCAAAAGGTGAGTTATTTATTTATTTATTTTTGAAATAATACGGCTGTTATTTACTTATATTCTTATAGTGGAGAAACATCATGTATTGCTTCAAAAATAGACAGACAATTAAATGAGTACGAGTACAAGACAACTATAAAAGGCATAACAGGAAGAAAAGTAGATTTAATTTTCTGTACAGCAATTGACAATGAAGTATATGAGCTTTTCAATGCTGAATTTAAAACAGCAAGCGCCTCGCAGCAAATCATCAGAATTCAACAGAATAAGAATTTAAGACTAAACAAGAGCATTCTGTCAAAATTAATTTGTGATACTGGAAATCACAGCATTTCTACTTTTGGAGTAGACGTTGTTGGCAAGAATCCAATATTTTAAAATTGATTAATGTTTATAATACTTTCTATTTCTAGGTTTGGTTGGGTACATGTATCATTTGTCATGTTTTGAAGACGTTATTGTTGCAGCCAAGAGTTCCGAGGATGATATCTATTTGCCGAGAGACAAAAGTGAACTAGAAGACTTTATATCAACTGACTTGCTATTCCCAGCGCTTTTCAATTTGAAAGTAAATCATATCCATACTTTAAAAAATTACCAAAAGAGTAAATTCACATTTAACTTTTTCTCTTATACGTAGAATCATATAAAAGAGATGGTACAAGACCTTACAACGCAAGTTAGAAAACAATATCGTTCAAGGCAAAATATAAGCAATTCAAGAGTCTCTTTGCCCGTCTCCACTGTTTCTATCCCTCCTACATTTTTTACTCCAAAGCGGTGATTTTTTAAAAGTATGCATCCATAAGCTAACGTACAAGTTGACCAACCACTTTGTCGATCATTTTATTTCTAAAGAGTACCTCTTTAAATCAAGCTTATATTCATGAAATCATTCAAATGTCATGGAATCCAATCTTGCTATAGTGTCATTGTCATTTTTAACCATTTTTATCATTGTAAAAGATAAGGGTCCATATCCAATAATTTAAACATTGTGTAAAAAGCTTTTTGGGGTTGAGTTGCCCTTCATCTGAAGAGCGAATACCAAGATTTAGTAAATTCTATCTATGTCAGAATCATGTTGGTTTAGGAATGTCATTTACTAATAAATTACTCCTTCATACCAATAAATAACATAGCCAAAAGACCAAAGAAATACATAGATATTACAAGCAAAATCTAGACGCGTGAATAGAAAGGGATTAGCACATACATAGGAAGATATATTACAGTAATATTAATCAAAATT